TGGTGTGATCTCGGCTCACCGCAACCTCTGCCTCCTGGGTTCAAGCAATTCTCCTTCCTCAGCCTCCTGAGTAGCTTGGATTACAGGCATGCACCACCACGCCTGGCTAATTTTGCATTTTTAGTAGAGACAGGATTTCTCCATGTTGGTCAGGCTGGTCTTTAACTCCCAGCCTCAGGTGATCTGCCCACCTTAGCCTCCAAAAATGCTAGGATTACAGGTGTGAGCCACCGCGCCCAGCCAAAAGAGCATTTCTAACTAAAATATGTGTAATTCAGAATTAGTTTACCCCCAAAATCAGTATTGTATATAGTATTTAGATTCTTAGATTAGCCAACAAAATTCTGCCTCAAACATTTCTCCCATAAATTAAAATACTAGTAATTTAATGAACCAAATCAAAACTGAGACTCTAATCCTACCTTCTTGAGTGCTGCTGTTTGCGGGAAAGCACTCATTCATTCAGTAACTGTATAGAGTGCTCACTCAGCCTGGCTCTGCTGATGTCTTTTTAATAGAAGCCTTTGCCCCCCACCACCCCCAGAAAAAATACCATCTGTTTGTGGCCAGGTGAGGGTGAGGTTTGGAGGGTAAGGAATGGAAGGGTTGCTGGAGCCTGTCTGCATATCCTGTGTGGATTAGGAAGCATCTGGAGTAGCCGCCTTTTGTCCCAGCGGTGGGTGGCAGCTGCAGGGCTCAGGTGGTATCTGTGGCAGGCCTGCTGCCCAGTCCCAGGCCAGGAGTGCCTCATGGCTCAGCTTCAGTGCTTGGCATGGCCGGCAGTGAATGATCTGGGACTCCTGAGGGCAGGCAGGCTGCTCTGGTGTGGAGCCACGTGTTTCGCAGAAAGTGCTTTAAGGTGTAAAATGAGAATTTCCATGGAAGAAAAGGGGCACTTGGACCTGGATCCTGGCTGAGAGATTTCCTGGGTGAGCGGAGAGTTTGAAAGTGGTGACACAGAACTGGGTCCACTGAGTGAAGTAATGTGATAGAAGTTGTTCCCCCCCTTCCCGCCCCCGACTTTGGGAGTGGCTTTGTTTGTCATGGAGCACACCTGGTTTGGCAACGTCCTACTCAAGCAGTGAGGCCTGACAGGACATGACCGAAGTTTGGCTGTGTTTGGGCGTGTGGCACAAGGACAAACTGCTCTGATCCCCAGCACTGAGTCAGGGACAGGAGCAGAATCCCGGTCATGTCCTGCCCTGAGCCAGGCTTGCCGGCCCTGGCAGCCTCGCCTGCTGTTACATAAACAGCAGGCCATGAATTCCAGGCGTCAGCACCCCGCTGCGTCCAGAGGGCGCACTCCTGCAGCTTCCCTTTCCAAAGCAGCATTATTTAAAAGTTGCTTTCTCCAAGAAAATGGTATTTCCATATTTGTTAATGGAAATAGAGCAGTTAAGCGATGACTGAGGCATTGTTTCCCTCCTAACATGGAGTGTTCTCAGTTTGGAGTCATTTTGTTTTTCTTTTTGATTGAATGATGGTGATTTTTTTTTTTTTTTTAAGAAACAGGGGCCTTGCTCTGTCCCCCAGGCTGGAATGTGGTGCACAGTCATGGCTCACAGCAGCCTTGAACCCCTGGGCTCAGCCAATCCTCCCACCTCAGCCTCTTGAGTAGCTGCAGCTACAGGCCTGTGCCACCATGCCTGGCTACTTTTAATTTGTTTTTGTAGAGATGGATTCTCACCATCTTGCCCAGGCTGGTCTGGAACTCATGGCCTCAGGTGATCCTTGTTCCCTAGCCTCCCAGAGTGCTAGCATTACAGGCATGATCCACTGTGCCCGGCCCATCCTGAGTTTTCAACATAGCTATCAGAAAAGCAGTCAGCATGAGCCAGTCGAAAGATGATCCCTACTCTGAGAAAGAAAGGCTCGCGCTGGAAGTCTGCACTCCTTAGTTAGAACCAAGACTTGCTTTTTCTGGTGACAGGAAATGCTTTTTATTGCAGATCTCTCAAAGGCCTTGGTTCTGACCGAAATCGGCCCCAAGCGTGACCCTGCGACCCTGAAACTGTTCCTGAGTAACATGGAGCGGCTGCTGCACGCCAAGGCGCATGGGTAGGAGGTTCAGCTCGGGGAACACCCTGCAGCCACAGGAGGAAGAACGGAACACGGGCTTGCTAAAACTCCCCTGGGATTTGAGGAGGAAGCCTGGCGTGGAAGGAGTAGGAGGGGCACATGAACACCAGACTCAGGGAAGCCCTGTGAGGGGCCCGCCTGCGGTACATGCTCCTATAGCCAGGTCTCTGGAGATGGCTGGGCACCTGTGTCCCTTCTCATGAGAATCCATGGAACTGACCTCATGCTGCTTAACCAGTGAATGGTGCGAGTACTCAGAGTCCTTCCCAAGTGGGCCTGGTGTCAGACAGGTTTATCAAAGCCCAGGGAATCCTCTGTCTCTTGCCTTCCCAGCAGGGCTGTGCTGTGACCCCTAGCCACGTGAGGCCGCTGACACTTCATGTCACGTTCAGTAGAGGAGGAGTCACTTCCCTGGTTGCTACATCTCAGGTGCTCAGTAGCTCGGTCAGCTGGGAGCTGTCACTGCACAGAGCATTTGCGTCTGGCAGAGGCCTGTTGGTCGGTGGCTCCGGGCCCTACATTCGGCCTCCAGAGCTTTGGCGGAAGTGCTGTGCTTCATTTTTCACTGGGGAACATGCCCAGCCAGGGTACCTGGCTGAAGTCAGCTTGCATACCACAGAAAAGGCTCCACTCCCGCCTGCATCTGTCTTCCCCTCCCTCTCTCCAGGGTCCGAGTGATTGGAAGCTCCACATTGGCACTCTGCCACCTGGCCTCGGGAGCCGCGGATGCCTATTACCAGTTCGGTCTGCACTGCTGGGACCTGGCGGCTGCCACAGTCATCATCAGGGAAGCAGGCGGCATCGTGATAGACACTTCGGGTGAGCTCTCATGTCCCTGAAATGCAGCGACAGAAACGACTGAGAGACACTGTGGGTGGGGTACTTCCTGAGGTCCCCACCAACTGAATTTCCCACTTTCCCCAGAGTTTCTGTTTTTTTTTGAGATGGAGTCTTGCTGTCACCCAGGATGGAGTGCAGTGGTACGATCTCAGCTCACTGCAACCATCCACCTCACGGGTTCAAGCAATTCTCCTGCCTCAGCCTCC